TCCGCCACCGAGGGCAGGCGGGCTGTGACTGATGCAGCATCTGTGCTGGGGCAGGAGGTCAATTTCTTCAGGAAACAGAAACAAACACCGTAAGAAAATGAAATCTTTAATATTTTTCTCTCAGTGGCAGAATTACACAGCTGTTGGATACGGATTTCCAGTGGGTCTAAAATACTGTTTTGGAGTTGCAAAAGTTCTAGTATGGAAACACACCCAACAGACAGAAGATGAACAGAGTCACCCCGGCTCATCAGATGGTTGCTCTAAACATATTGTCTTATTTTTCCTACGAGAAAATCCTGAGGATCAAACCGGAGACTCTACATTAGCGTGCAACTTCGGCCGGGAAGGGGGAACCTAAAAGGAAAACATGAAAGTGGTATGCAGGTGGGCTTGTGAGACCGTCTCTGCAGAAGTTCACCAACTTTGTGGGTATTTCGTATTCGCTACAACTTATCATGCCCGAAACCGAAGGCAACCGAAACCACAGTCCTTATAAAATCAAAACACTGCTCTTCAAGATCCTTTCCCTTCGAGACATAAGCTGCTTTCAGGAAAGGGCTAAAAAGCTTTACTAAATGGGTGACAAGCTGTTAGTCATCCGAAATATTTGGGACAGAAAACTGGCAGATTTGGTACATGATTTCAGAAGTGGGAGTTTACAAATCTGATGAAATTAAAACATGCAAAGACATTTTTTAGTGCCAGATGGTAAAAACCTTACGTTGTTTTTTAAATCTGAAAGGTTAAGGACCTTATGGAAGAAACCACTCCTAAGACATAAGTGTTATTGTAACAGAAGTGAAAAGCAGGTTAACAGACCACATGAAAGAAAAAAAATAATCATTTATAGCAATAAACACTGTAAAAGCTAGAGTTGTACTCCAATTTTAAAAGAAAGTATAACTTCTTAAATGCACGGTAATGTTCAATGTTATTTAATGTCCTTATGGAAATGTTATCACAACTTATAAAGGGCTGTGCATGAACATGCTCAGCTCTGAGTTTCCAACCAATTAAACATTACACATGATCATATTAAGATGATTCACCAAAGACAGTGTTAAAAGTTTGTCTTTAAAAATCGATTGATAGTAGAGGTTTGGACAGAAAAAACCAAGATACACTTTGTTTCTTAAAGAGTCACAGTACAGCAAACGCACTCACATTATAGTTACAGTTTTACCAGTAACGGTTTCTAATCTTACAGAATAAAGCTCTAGTTTGAGAAATTGCAATGCATTTATCTTCTTTAAAACTATTTTAAAGAAGGGCAAATCTGTCGTTTTTAGAAGTCAAAAACCAGCAGAAAAACGTGACCGATAAATGCAGTCTTTGAAATATCTTGTGGCTAATTATATGCTAATTTTCAAAGGCAACAGTATTTTTGGTCCATGAGACCCTAGAAAAACGAAAGGTAGGCATGGGATAGTCCCATTTATCAAGAGGAATACAAAGTTCATGAAGAAATTTTAATACTCACTAAAACATCTTTTTACAGAATGATTTGTGTATGTGGTTACACAAGAAATATCTCTAGTAAATAATGGGCGTGACCAGGCAAAAACCACAAGTGCACTAAGATGCTTTAATAGTACGAAAACATTCTTTTCAAGACCATCAATAACCATCAGATTTTCTTTGAGCGGCAACTAAAATACAGTCACTCTTCTTAACATCAACATGAATCAGGACCTAGGTTACTTTGACACCTCTATTGTTTTAACACATCTTGCTGGAGGGTAAGGATCAGCACACTGGCCCATGGCTAAGTCGGTGTGCTGTTTCTGTAAATAAAGTTTTATTGTCATACAGTCACATTCACTCATTTGCATATTGCCTTTTGCTGCTTTCAAGCTACAGGGGCAGAGGTGAGTAGTTTATAGTGACCAGGTGATACTCTAAGCCTGAGTTACTTATTATCTGATCCTTGACAGAATAGAGGGGGTTTCTAAGACCAATCTTATTTCTCTTTTATTGACACTGTGCACTCTTATTTTAATGCCATGTGTATAGTTCACGTATTCTACACTTAATATATGGGTGTATACAGAGGGAGCTCAACATCCCGGGGTTAAGTTTCCATCTTTAAAATATTTCTGACATAAACATTCTTGCTGGCCATGACCAGTGTGACTTCAGGTCACTTAGGAATTCTCCAGAAGTTGGATGGCAAAAAATATGGATGAGCTACAATTGGCCTATAAACTGTACATCTTGTATTATCTAGAATAGGGAAATTGGATAGCAAAAAGAATAACGAAAACCAAATATACTTAAGGGTAAATGCCATTCAATCTGGGGAAAAACAGCTAGAGAGTTTTTTACACACACAAGCACACACACACACCAGGAGCCACCCTCCCACCTATGACAAATTGGTAGCCACAACATAGTCAAAGTATCTTTGTTTTATAAATATATTACTATCTATATACATAGATACATCCATAAAAGACATGTTAAATAATTATCTGTATAATCAATACGACTTAAGTTTTTTTCGTTATGTGTTTTAAAATTATACATTTTATTAAAATTATCCAAATAATTCTTATAAAATACCAGGAATAAAACCAGAGAAGAGTTGCTTTCCATTCGAGTGGCTCTGAACCTTATCACTGGTCTTCCAGACTTCAGACCCGGTGATCTGCCACTCAAAAAAACATGGCTTCCCCTAAGGACAAGTTAGCCATTCAAAAGTTTAACACCTTCCCATTTTTAATACTTCACAACAAACATGTAGGCATGTATGTATATATATAATATATGTATATATAAATGCTCTTTTAAGTTATATTACATATTCTCATAAATGATTTTTCATAAAAACACCAAGTTCAAGTTCTCACCAGTATCAAATATTTCACACTGGTGTGCATTTCTTGCAAAGGTTTAAGTCAATGACAGACAAACTCTATCAGGATAGAGAGATCAGAAAAAGGAGGCTGAAAACTTACATATCACATGCAAGAAAGGAGGAAATACTAAGGGCCAGTATTTGGCCAGTTGGGTACTATTCCCTCTGTACTAAGACACAGAGACAACAAACTGGCTAATTACTGTGTAAAGTACAGTCAACTGTCAATTATTCAGGGGCAAAATAGTCTAATCTAAATCCCTTCTCTCCCATCAGTTGACCACTTCTGGCAATTTCACTACTTGCTAGCCTATCTCTCTCTGGTTATTTATTGGCAAGTCTAGTCAAAGAGATGATTAGGGAGAAAGTTTTGGTTAAAAGCAAGGTTTGGGATCAGCTATGGATTTAATTTAACGATGGATCCTTTTACTTATTGCTTTAGATAATTAAGAACTTGCCATGTCTAAGGTCTGCCAAATAGCTCGTTCGTAAGCTCTGAAAGCAACATTGGTGCTCTTAGAAAAGGGGACAAGTTGTCCTCTTGACATGAAAAAAAAAAACAAAAACAAAACCCTGCTATTTCTTAGCTCACAATTATGAGGAAGGATTTCAGGCCGGGCAGTTCAGAGCCACTCACTTACAGTCAGGAGGGGGTGGGGAGGTGGGGGTGGGCGAGCAACACCACTTTCCACAGTCTAAAACCCAAGATGCAATGACACACAGTTAGCCAGAAACATCAGAAGGTCAAACTAAAGGCGGCTACACATTTCACCTAAGCTCTCGCTTAAATAAATTTAGTAGAGTTTGGCAGGATCTTCAAATAGTTAAGATGCTAAAATTAGGAAAGTGGAAGCAAACCTACATCATACAATTTGAAAATGATTTCATACGGAAAAAAAAAAAAAAAGTCTTAGAATATGACTAAAACGAAAATGTCCTACACATGCGGAGCCCTGTTTTTGGCACTGGTGTGGCCTCTACCTGTAAACCTTTACCTGCAGGTAGTGACCAACAAAACCAAGGAGGACAACTTCACACGTGAGTCGGGTCGCTCTCGGCCAGACGCCCCTCAGGAGGGTCTGTGCGGTGCCCCCCGGACCAGCTCTGGGCACGGTCGAGCTCACCTGCACTCCCCTCGCCCACGACAGCAGTTATTGTGTGGAACGCCACTTTCCTGAATTAAGTTTGCTGAACATGGTTCAGATTATTGGATATGTCGATATGCACAATGCCTTTTACAAGCATTTACTGTATATCCAAATCCTACTCCACGCGACACACGGTGTCACGCGAGTAGTGGAGACGTTATCCTAGTCAAAGGTGCTTGGACAGTATTTTCAGGCAGCATTTTACCTTTATTTTGAGTGAAGTTTCACACTAGATAAAAGTTTTCGGGGAAAAGAAAATGCCAATAAATGTATTGAATATATTTTAATATGTTCTCTAAAACTAAGACAGACACTTTTATGTACCTAGGTTGTTACTTGTATTTTCTACCCTAGTCTAGACCTCAGTTTGTACTTCAAGATTTTTTTTTTTGTATTTAAATAAGGGATAAAATGTTGCCCAAAAGTCTAATCATAGTCACACATTTGTGTTTTAACTAGATCTACAAATCAAAATAGTTCTTGTAGTTAAAAAGATACAATTTGTATCAACAGTAAAAGGTCCTTTCTGGTTGTTCAGGGCTTTACTTCAAACCGTCAGGGCTTTTTAAGAGCTTCACAGCAGCCAGTGCATCCCGGCAGACGACAGAGACAGATCGGAGTGGGTCTGTCACACTCAGGAAGAGTCAAAAACTGGAGGCAACAGTGAAATCACGTCAACCACACACGTGTCTGCCGCTGATTGCAATCTCTCCCTTCTACCCACAAAAATGAATTTGCATCTAGCAAAACCCATAACTTTGAAACCAGAAATATCCCTTACTAATACTAGAACAGACTTTAGTCTGCATCTAAAACTACACTATTTGTGGCAAGAATCTGGCCTTAATAATATAACAGGCCCCCAAAAAAACTGTCTTCAGGAAAATGGAAAATATACAGTATCTTACAAAAATGTTAAGTTACCATTTACAGCTCCTCCGTCACCATCTCTATAGTGCAGTATCAATAAATGTTGCATATCCTCAACGCATAACACCACTGCAGGCCAGCCTTGATAAATAGCAGGAAAGCTAAAGAGTATATTAAATATAAAAGTTGCATTGAGAATAATTAGATTCATTGAAAACAGGCAAGTACTGTGAAAGGGTTATTTTATCCAGTTTTGTTGTGCCCCAGAACAAAAAGACAAACACACTAAAAAGACAGGTTCATGGAAGTCTAGGAATTCGATTCCATCCCTACTGTCTAGAAGCACATCACAGCTGGATAACAAGCTCTATCTAAACGGTAACAGTTAACGGCTTTTGCCTTTTCCATTAAAAAAAATAAAATGGAAACAATTTTTTTCCATTGATTGCATCTGCTTTCCTTTAAATCGATCATATTAAATTAACTCATCACTTAACAGAAAAAACCCAAACCAAAATAAACAATGAAAAGTGCCATCTTGTAAGTCTTTCTCACATACGCTGCTACCCACTTCGACATAAACTGGTAACTTACATTTTGTTTAAAATATAAAGTCAGTGCCGTAGTAGATCTTTGTTTCTATAAATAATGATTATAGCACAAAGAAGCCCACTTTCCCCAAATAAAAATAACTTAAAAAGCTGTAAAAGATTCCAGTGAAGCTTGGCTTGAAAAAATAGTCGCTAGGTCTAGTAAAATGTTCAACATTCTGAAGGTTTTGTTAATTGCTTGCAATTGATAGACAAACACCCAGTTAGTAAAACATGAAACGAGGATAAAAAGTGCTGCATTTATAAACCCCTGATGCACCAAAGATTAATATCAAAGATCACAGAGACATCTAGTAAATCAAACTGGAAAAATCTCCAGCCAAGGATAGAGCTTTAAAAAGGAAATGTTTTTTTTTTTTTAAAAAAAAAAGTTTGCATGTAAAGCAATCCCGCGATACTTCTGCCGTGTGGGGCTGTACATACAAGATTCCATGATACAGTATTTCACATAAATGGATACTATAGAACCTCCTTGCTGAGAAGGAGATCACATGTGCTATTGTAGCAAACCTCCCTCAGCATTTGAGCTGAACAAAAAAAAAAAAAGAAAAAACAACACCACACGGGTGCATCATCTCTCAGTAGCCCAGCTGCGATTTCTCCACCAGGATGGCCGCGGCGAGCTGCTGGGCGTCGGTCATGTGAGGGTTCCTCTTCATGACGAGTCTCACCAGGTCGGGCGGAAAAATGTTGCACAGGTTGATGTAAATCTTCTCTCGGCTGTCTTGGTACCTGGGGGGGTCGGGTGGCAGGCCGCAGTACGGGATGCGCCAGGTGGTGGGCTCCTGCTGCTCGGGCAGGCTCTGGAAGGTGAACTGCTCGTAGCAGGGCTGCGTGGAGTTGTCTGGCAGGGAATAGGTCTGCCGGTAGCCATAGGCCTCGAGGCCGTAGCTCGGCCGCTCCCAGCCGCCCAGCCCGTCCTGGCGGGTGTAAGGCTTTCTCTGTCTGGAAGGAGAACTGTCATACAGCCGAGAGTCAGAAATGCTGTCTATCCGGGTGGCCACCAAGGAGCGCCCCAGGTGGGGTGCCTTTGGGTGCGTGGAGCTGGGAGGGGAGGGGTAGTCGCCAGGGCAGCTGGCCCGCGTGCCCACGGCTGGGTGCTGCAGGTGCACAGCCAAGTGCGGGAGAGGAGGCTTGTGATGGTACTTTGGTTCTTCGTGACTGTAACTCTGCACTCTGGTTAAGGGGTCATGGAAATTCTGCAGGAAGGGTTGGGAATTAAGGCGGCCGTGAGGGTGCATGTGCTGACACTTCAAGTTCTCCTCCAGCTGGGGGTCTGGAGAGCTGACGTAGGACCGGTCATTGTACCCCACGTAGGAATCACTGCTCCCGCAGCTCATGCTCCCTTCACTGCTGCAGTCCGAAGCAACGGAACTTATCCTGTAATCTGTGTCTAAGGAGAAACGCCTTTCAGGACTTCGCGGGCCTGAGATACTCAGATTTGAATATGCATTCAACATGGAATAATACCCAATGTCCACAGGGGAGTCACATTTTGGATACTGTTCATAAGGCATTGGCGTTCCATGATTTTTGGTTGCCATCATCATTGGAGGATATTGTCCCTGTGGTCTTTGATCCTGAGGTGGGAAATGCACTCCAGATGGAAGGCCATTGCTTAGAGATGCAGTGCTTTGGGGTTTTGCAGTGGGAGTAGCCGGGATGCTGACTAAAGAAGGTACAGACCTGGTTTCCAATTTGTTTTTGGTGGGAAGCTTTTCCTCTAGGTCCTGGTAGACTTGCGTCCGTATGCTGGGGTCCGACTGCCTCTTTGGGGCGCCGCGCTTGACGTCAGAGGAGCTGTCCGCCTTTGTGCTGCAGGGGACGCTGTTGCTTTTCACCAGCCCGCCTTCGTTGGCAGTCTTGGCTGCGGTATTTCTAGACATGGCGCGGAGTTCATCGGCCACCGACCGCTGGGGCTGGCTGCCCCTCTCGGGGTGGTAATACTTGCACTTGTGGCCGTAGGTACATTTCTTTCCTGCGAAGAGGGAGATGAATGAGGTGAGGGGGCATACCACCGGATCCTGGGCACTACTGTACACTTGTGCATGAAACCAAGGCAAACAAATGGGAGACATGCTAAGCCCTGCTCTGCGCCTCACTCTTGGGAAATGCCACTGTGCAGTCTCCCCACCGTGGGTTCTTGCAATAGCCACTGGAAAGTTGGCTGAGTGAGTGATAATCACTTCCAGAGTTCTGGGCTAATCCCCGGGACTTCAACTCCTAACTGCCTCTTCTCTTCCGTAATGGCTTTGTAATCAGGCAGGACAGTCTGCTTTGAAGAGTAAAATGGACTGCTGTGCTGTGATAAAACCACGCCGGTCTGATGAGAGGCTATATGTAAGAACTCCAGACTTTTATCCTCCTGGAGACCAACTTCACATAGAATTAACCGAGTTTTTGGAGCCATGCTTTCATCCAGGGGAACGCTTTGCCACTGAACCCGACTAGGTAAAAATAATAGTGTTTTCGTAGCTAACATGGCTCCTTCATTACAATCAAAAGAATGACATATCATGCCATCGAAAATTTAGTGTTTATTTTTAACACCAAAAGGTTAACATCATGCTGTGTTCTAAAGACACTGACTAAGGGCTTATAGAGAAAGTTACCGTATGGACAAGGCTGCTTTTTGTGTTCGGGGACAATGGGTTTCTTCCTCAGAAAGTTATCCAGGCTCGGGCCGTGTCTGCCAAGAGGGTCGTCAGGGGGCATGAATCTGTCATGGACATAACACAAAGTTATACCTAAGTAGGCAGAATATAAACATAACTTCACTCTATGGTATATTTTTTGGAAATTTTACAAGTACTTTGAGCCAACATTAACAAGAATCCCATGAAGCAGTAGCTCCACTTGATAGATTAATAAACTTTTCTGATTTAGCCTTAGATGCATTAAGTTTATTAATTTTTGTTGAAGTAACATTGTATTATGTGTTCATTATTGACAGTCAACTTGTGCACAGACTATATTAGGTTCACCTCAAAGAGTGTGATTCTGCCCTGCGCCACTCCCGTAGCCAAGGTCACGTGGCCTCGTCAAGATACAATCACCTCCAGCTCCCCACCCATCTCTTCCCCATACACCGAGGGGCTGCTCAGCAGAGAGGGCAAAGAATCTTAAGGCAGTAAGCTTATTTCCCTGGATTGACCGGTGGGAGCAAGAATTCATGGCATGCGCAATGAAAAGAAGTTATGATTCAAGAGGTCTGCTGGTTGTGTCACATTTGGACTTGAAATTCAGCAAGTATTTACCTACAAGTGTGAACAGCGTGTGAACTCTTAAGGGAGTATCGACACACGGCTGAGAAATAACACTTAGCAAATATTATATTGTAAAAATAAGGGGCAATATTAAAAGTTTTCAAGTGTTTTCCAGGTTTGCATTGCATTTAACTTATCTGCTGACACACGCCATGTTATAATTTTATGTATTGTCTTTTTAACATGTATTTTCCATTATCACAGTACCTCTGAATTAGCTGAATAGTCCAGTAGATATACTGCAATTTCACTCATTAGTGAAACTCATTAGTGTACATTTAGTGCCTGTGACTTCTTTCAATTAAAAATAACTCTATTTGAACATATCTGGTATGTCTTTTGTCCTCATTACATATTCTAAGAAGTGAGATTACAGGCTTGAGAGGGTATACATATTTTTGAGGCTTCTGCCAAGCCACGCCAAACTGCACAAAAAATCCATTTCATGACATCTTTAACTGCATGTTGTACACAAAAATGTTTTTATGAATTAAGCGGGTAAGGAAATATACTCTTTGCAAACGTAATTTGCATTTTTGATTAGCAACAGGTAAACCTTCCCCACCTGTTTGTAAGCAGATGTTTCAGGAGCCACGTCTTCCCACATCATTGGTGTATTTAAGGCAGTTAATCATGATCAGACTTACCTTTCTGTAATATTTACAAAAATGCCTACTTAAGGAAACAACGGATGCCCTAAGGACACTTTGAAAGGCCGTGTTCTGGTGGCATGTCCCAAATCTGTTTCTCTGGAGGTGGGAATTATGCCTCTGTCAATTATTAGGGATGATTATTAGGAAACTTGCTCAGCTCGTGACTTAAGAGGGAAGAGGTCTCCGACAGGTTTTCTGACTCCCCCTGAGGATCAGTGTGGGGGGTACTGGAAGAAACCTAGGCCCGGACAGTGGCAAAAAAAGAGCATTGTATGACCAGGGCCAGTGAGGAAGCCCAGGTGCAGAACTGCCCGCCAGCGGCCGGCTTACTTACTTGTCGTTGACGAAGGAGTACATGAGTAGCCGTTCGTCTATGAACTTCTTCCACTCTGGTTTTTCATTGGCCAAGTCCCTGTAGTTGTCATTGGACACGATGATGCCATCCGATTCGAAGGCCAGCTTCACGATGAACCTGTCATCGTAACAGACCACGCGCCGGCCCTGCACGCGGCGGGACGGAGTGAACACCAGGATCTTCTCCTTCTCCAACTTACGGAGAATTTCTTGATCTGCAAGAATCATCAGGGGAGGGTTTCAGGCATGGAGACACACGTATAACACCCACGGTGACCAGCATGCACATGAGCTTCTAGAGCAGGAACTGGACATGGTGATCATTGCATTAGGGGTTATAACCAACAGTGGAGATGTAGCCCGCCTCTAACTCCCAGGAATACTTTTTTATTCTTTGGGGTTTTTGGTAATACAGGGGTGTATATGTGGATGTACACAATAATCAAATCTGCCTTTGTGTAAAAGAGCCCTTAGGTCATTAAAAACTTCTCATGAATATCCTAGCACTGACTTTATCACCTTGGAATAGAAGAACTTCTATATAAGAACAACTTTCTTGGGCTTCACCGGTGGTGCAACAGGTTGAGCACCATGCTGTGAAGCTGTCCGCAGCCTCTGCAGCACGGGTTTGATTCTCGGCCTGCCAGGGAGAAACCTTCATGGTGCGGCAGACCTCTCCTGCCTTGCCCGCTGCTCCCCTCAGCAGTGTCTTCGGTCCTTCTGCCTGTTCTGCATCCTGCTCTGTCTCTGGTGAATCCTCTCACCCTCCCGCGTCTCTGGCCTATACCCCAGCTCTTGCACAAAAATAAATAAATCTTTAAAAAAAAAGAACTTTCTTATATACAAACATCCTTCCAATGAATGTATATGGTTGATTTGTTTTTTATAGGTAATCTTGCACTAAATGTCTTTCAAGTCATAATTCTTTGCTTATTTGTGGGGGAATTATTCCTAGAAGAGGAACTAGCAGAACCAAGAATATTAACATTTTAAGACAAAAATTTTCCAGAAAGGTGGTAACAATTTATGTTTCCACAACAGTGTAGGAGTGATTCCCTCAGGGCATCGAGTATTCGCAGTTTCTTAATCTCTGCTAATTTGAAGGATGAAAATGAACAGTTGTCAAGATTTGCATTTCTCTAATTAGTAATGAGATTGAACTTCTTTTTTCTCTTCTTTTCTGGCAACTGCATTCTTCAGGGAGTCATCCATTCCAGCCACTTCAGCATTTACATACTGGGAAAGGCTTGCGTTTATTTATTGATGTATAAAAGCTCTTTATATATGAAGTGCATGGGTTCTTAATGCATTTTTTGGTTAGGAAAATAAAAAAAATATTATCATCTTCAAGTCTTCCAAAATACAAAAGTTTACATTTTGATGTTATTAAATCTATTTTTTTCCTTTGTAATTTATACTAACAATTTTTTATTTACAAAAGTTTTCCCCAGCTATTCAAAGACTAGTCTCTAATGGTTTGATTTTGGACAGTTCATCTCCAATCCACTGAGATGTGCTGTCACATGCTGCCAGATAGGGATGGCATAAATATAAAGGGTACACAGAAATAAATATATAAATGCATATTTTTTTCCAAAATGCCACCTAGGTGTGTGGTCTCGGCAGTGCTGGCTGACCCCACCTCACCCTCTATCCCCTCCCTTCTCACACTTTATGGGGTCAAGTGTCTGAGTCCATGTCCTGGAGTCCATCTAGTCTTCTGCCATATTAATAATGACTTAATGACTATAGAGAAAAATTAAGTCCTAAAAATATCTTCCCTTCAGGTACATGGTAGGTGGTCTTCCTGTTTTTTGATTTAGGTGTAATTTTCTTCACATGCGTTGCTTGGGTTTTGTCAATGTTCAGGTGGAAGAGAGACGAGAGGGTTGGATGCTGACTAGGACTCACTTAGCTTCAACAAAACGTTCAGCAACAATAATAAGCAGTAACTAGACATCTCTGCCTGAAACTCACACTCTTAAAAATCAGAAAATAATGTAAAATCCAGGCACAGCTACTTCTTTGGAATCAAGTCGCTTCCTCCTACTTGACACAGCCCCAGAGTCTCCCGGGTCAATCCACTGCTCCCCTGCCACCCCCAGTCTGATTTCACGGAGCAGATTGAGAAAAGTGGGGTGCACATTGGCTCAGAGCTGCTCCAAGTCCTGTGGTGGGAAACGTCAAATCTCGAATGTGAGTCTCCACGTCTGACTCTGAGCGTTGTCTCTAAAGGTCAGAATTTTACAAACTCCAAAGTAAAAAGTTTCCGTAGGAATGAAGGGGGGAACAAACCTGACTTATATAGCAAAGATGAAGGTCTAGTTAAAACAGTGAAGATAGTTCCAAATTCAGAAATTACCTTAAGGCCCCCCCTCCCTAGCAAAAACAGCAACCGTGTATACCGAATCAACGATGTACAAAAGTGACAGAAAGAGAAGAGCCACGTTGTTGAAGGAAAGCCCAGCCAGGCAACGGTCCTGCAGGGGCGCAGGGGGGACTCGCGGGCTTACCTGTGATAAGGGCATCGGGGCGGGACTGCTCCTTTCTCCAAGCAGGAACAAAAACTGTAACATCTTTGTGGCCTCTCTCCAAAAACCAGTCCACAGCCAATTTTATTCCTCGGCAGGAAAATACTTCTTTGTTTCCATGGCTGAAAGATTAGTTGAGAACAGTTAACATACAGCAGAACCCAAATGCAGCTCAATTGACTGAAACTTGTAAGAGACAATGACTGTCATCACAATGGGGTCGGGCCATCTCAAAGGTAAGGTGAAGTTGTGTGTCCAGAGAAACATTAAGGCCAACTTCAGGAGTCGAAAATCAAGAGTGCGGGAAAACATTTCATAATTGGGAATGATTAATGAGTGAAGAATGAAGTGAATTTTCAACTGCAAATTTGTAAAAGTTGAGTTATAAGCTCTTCTTGATCTGGAAAGGGGGAAGACAAGGGGCTCAACCATAGCATGAATCATTTCAGTCAAATGTACAAAAGTGACAGGAAAAAAAAAATCTGTAAAGGGCCCCCCTGGTGGCCTAGGGGTTAAGTCTCAGCGTTATCACACGATCACAGCTATGGGCTGAGTTTGATCCCCGGCCAGGGAACTACCCACATGACGCAGCAGACCTCTCCTGTCTCGCCTGAGGCTCCCCTCAGCAGTGTATTTCAGTAGATCTGCCTGTTCTGCTCCCCACTCTGTCTCTGGTGAATCCTCTCATCCCCTCCACCCCTGGCCTATACCCCAATTCTTCTATGATAAATAAAAATGTAGAGACGACTTGGCTCCCACAGATGTGTCCTAGTGGTCTGGGGGCAGACTAGAGGTGAAATCAAACACACTGGAAGTTCTAGAGATGAACTCCCAGTTCATCTGGGATGAGAGAGGGAGAAGTCTGAGGTCACAATGTAGACAAGAAGGATAGCCTGATAACCCTGCCATTGCCCCAGCAAGTGATACAAAGTGATGTTAGGTTTCACGGAAAATACTGAAATGTAATAATTCTTCTGAATTACTGTAGGAAATGATGTGGTATCTTCTCTCAGGAGAAAATATACACATGTACATACATATATACACACACATTATTCCTAAATATAAAAACTCCCCTTCCTAAAGCCTGGCTGTAATTTTCTTTTGTGTTAATGCTTTGAAATCCAAGTGTATCCTGCTCTGCTAGTCAGCAATGTGGTTTGGTTACTAAGACTTGAGTTTCTAGGGTCTCTCTGGTGGCACAAGGGGATAAGACGCAGCCTATGAAGCAGTCCGCGGCCTCTACAGCACGAGTTCGATCCCCTGACAGCCAGGGAGCTACCCACATGGTGCAGCAGACCTCTCCTGACTTGCTCACGCTCCTCTTAGCAGTGTATTTCAGTCAATCTGCCTGTTCTGTTTCCCACTCTGTCTCTGGTGAATCCTTTCACCCCCCGCATCTCTGGCCTGTACCCCAGCTCTTGTATGCATAAATAAATCTTAAAAAAAAAGACTTGAGCTTCTGGCTGTAAAAAGGGGACTTGAATAAGCATCCCCGCTGCCCCCCTCCCCCGAGGGATTTCATTGGCTAAGATGATTGTCACATTGTACTCACTCTAGAAATAGAAGTTCCAGCTCCTAACTAAAGAACCTTCAGAAAATGTGTGTCAACAGCAAACCATTTACAATCCCAGTGCCACAAGCTTTTACAGATGCTAACACAGGAGATCTGACCGTGACCACTAAGAACACAGGTTGTACCTTAGTGTCTTTCCTTTCCGTTCTGCTACACCACCTGCCAACCCCACCCTATAAAGCCTCATAGGGAGAAAAAGCAAGAGGATAAAGGTACTACCATGTGAATGGGAAGCAGAGACATATAAAGACCCTGAGATTCTGAGCAGGTAGGCCTATGTCTACCTGATCTTGTTATCTGAGGAAAAATAACCCCCCACCCCGAATTTGTTCCAGAAACTGAAGTCAAGTTTTCTGTTATTTGCGGCAAATACATCCTTAACTGCTGCATTTGTCATACCATAAACCAAGAGGAAAGGTCTAGTAACACCAGAAGCAAATATATTTTAAGACAAAACATTACTAGGGACAAAAAGTTATTACATAATAATAAAAAAGGAACAAGTCACAAGAAACATATAATAATTGTGAACTCAGTGTCCATATGAGTAATACAGAAGATCACAGATCACTTCAAGAATCCACAATCATGCTAATTGACAGACAGATGAAGCAGAAAACATTTAGGAAGGCTATTCATGACTGGAACATTCAATTACAAGCCTGATCTAATGCAGAGAAACAAAACCCAGCACAAAATTAAAGAAGATATTTTTAAGAATACACAGTAGAGTAAAAAAATTGGCAGCGTAGTAGGCCAGATTTTACCCCTCACCAGGAATCTGTGTCATACAGAGAATACTCTTCAACAGTTATTATACTGACCGTTATTGTTCAAAATTTAATGTTGCTATACATCGGCAAACCCAATTCAGAGCTTAAAAAAAAAAGATCCCATTGACAATATACTCTAAAATTTTCAGAGGAAATTACAGTAGACATTCACATCAGGATAGGGAAATAGTTTTTAAAGAGGGCATGCAATCATATGCTATCAAGGAAAAGATGGACACATTTGAGATGGACACAATTCTTTATGCAGAAATCCCATAAATAAAATAAAAATGCTATAGACTGAGAGAAGATACGTGCAAGAAGACCAACCAAAATGCTAGGACTCAGAATACAGAAAGTACTCCTATCCATCAAAGAGTAACCAGATTTTTTTTTCAATGGCAGAAAATATGAAGTGAATCCACAGAAGAGGAAACCCAAATGACCAACAAGTATATGAAAAGATGTTCAGTAGTGGAGAAATGTAAATTAAAGCCAAAATGAGACATCACTTCACACCCATCAGATTGGAAAAAATAAAGTCTGCAAACACCAGATGTTGCCAAGGATGTGTGAAAGCAGGAACTCATACATTACAGGTGGGAGTGTAAATTGGTGTAACTATTTGGGAGAGCAATTTGGCAATTCTTTATAAAGGAGAAGGCGTGCTTTCTCTAAAACACAGCAACATACCACACCCAGGTACAGCAAAACTGCACAGTAACTTGCAATCACATTGCATGCAAATCAGCAGTTGGTTTTTCCTGCTCGGTCCAGCCTCAGCTCCACAGGTAGGTTCTGCACCCACAGGGGAGGGGCGTGGAGGGCAGGGAGGGAGAGGCAGGTTAGTGGGGGTGTGTGTGGGGGTATCTCCCAGCTCTCCAGGTCTTGCCCAGCCAGGCTTCCCTGGATCGTGTCCTGGAAATGAATGTTATCTTTTACATCCCTGGGATGGCTGCTGTTGTCTGGCAGCCACCGGGACCCAGAACCACCCTCAAGAGTAGTATTAAAAGCCTGAGCACTTACTACCAGGTGAGGGAACTTCCACAGATTTGGGAGGATGTGGGAGACTGAACTGAATCTAACCTTACTAGGGTGTGTGGAAGGATGTGAGGGATTGTAGGTTCTGGATACAATGTAAGGTGCCAACAGTAGGAGGTTCTCTTAAAAATGACAAAAACAGAGTAAGCAGATAAAAAATTATGAAAAACAGGATGTCTGAGTAAGCACCTTGTAGTTACTTGTGCAAATTAACTGTTGAGTGTTTGAAAACTATAGCTTTAATTCCCTATCAGTAGAGAAGAAAATAGTTCTACAGTAATTTATGGACTGTATCTGTATGAATTCATGGTATTTTGCTCAGCAGTAAAATGAGCTAATTCTATATTTATGAATTGGCATGTTCCTTTGGGTCTCGAGTTTTTTTTATTCTAACAATTTGGCAGTCAGGATGGTAGAGCGCAGAGAATCCTTCTGCTGGGTGATTTTGTTGGAAGATGTGTGGCCACCTTTGATTTACTTAAGAGTCCCTGGATGTCTGCTAAAAATAAAAAAAAAGTGCTCCTTTGACCACTTTGGCTCAGTGGGGTTGGGTTCCCAGGGAAATTTCCAAATCCTTGCAGTAAAATTAGAGTTACTATTGAGCAAAATGGGTAATACGGGCTCAAAGGGCGCATGCAATTTGCCCCCGGCTCTAATAGCAGAAAAATAGAAGCTTGCCAGCAGGTCTGTTTCTTAAAAGGCTGCCGTGTTTGGAACAGGTCTACATAAAAAAATCCTGGTGGTGGGCAATGGCTAGAGGAGGCTCATTTGAAGTCGAGAAATAGTCCCATTTACAGAGGTTTTTAGGAAAAAACCTCCTTAAAATGAATGGGAAAAGGTATCTCTGGAGCTCGGGAAATAAGCAAAAGAATGAACCGGCCAGTCATAAAGAAGGAAGAAGCAGAAGGAGGAGATTCAGAAACTGAAAGCTCATTTTTCTCTGTCTCCAGGGTCTCTCCCCTTCTGCTCTTGCTACTTTGACTCCCTTTTTCTTCTCTTTGCCTCCATCTAGGACTTGGAAGAAGGAGATGATGACTCTGGGGTGGGTGGTTCCCAGGGGTTCTAGGAAGAGGGAGAACTGCCAGTTTTATTTGAATACACTAACATGGACCCCACCTCAAAACTCACCCTCACACTCAATGCAAAACATGGCTAGGACAGCAGAAGTGATCAAGAGGAAGGAACGAAGCGGCTGAGAATTTAGATAAGAGGCTGGCCTAGAATTAAGGCTGGTGAATGGTTGCTCTGATAACGTGGAAGGAAGGGGAAACACAAGGAGTCAGAGGATTAAACAGCAAAATGAGACCGAAACCACAGGACCATAGAAACCTACTTTTCTACTCAATGGGAAGAGAATCAGCCCTATCCCTTTGGCGTTCTAGGGACTCGGAAGCCTTTTAGAAGTCATGCGGGACTGCTGGGTGGGACTGGGGTGGTAAGAGTGCATCTTTCTTGCCCAGCTGATAGCACCTGTCTTCAGAGTTATTTCCCAGCACTCTGGAAAGATCTGCAGAGTTATGCATGAGCTCTACAGCATGTTTTCAGCTCTTAGCCCTGTGCGCAAGCATGGACACTGGCTGCTGCATGGAAAGAGGACTCTGCTTAACTAATGAAACAGGCAGGATGGGGCAGAAGGTAACCCCCCACACAAGGGAGTGGCCTCAGGCACCCGCTCCAACTGGCTGCTCCACTGGCTGCTCCCCATGCCTGGATAACCATGAAGAGGCACTGC